CTCCCACTAAAACCCGGCCTCCAAAAAAAAGCTGTTTTCTCTTTTCCTCGCGTCCCCACCAAACGCGCCCACCCCCACACCTCTCAAACAGGTTTCTTTTTTTTTTTTTTTTGTGGTAGGCACCCTTTATTGGGCCAAAGTGGGGAGTAGGGGATTCACATTTCAAAGGGTGTTCACCTCCGTACTACGGAAAACCCTCGGGCCCTGCTCTCTAGGACATTGTTATCCTCGGCTGCACATTAGAATCACCTGGGAATCTTTTTAAAATCCTGATTTCTGGGCTTCATCCTCCAGAAATTCTGTTTCTTTGTTATGGGGTGGGGCCACAACATTAGTAACAAAGACAGAATTTCCAGAGGATGAGGCCCAGAAATCAGGATTTTAAAAAGATCCCCAGGTGATTCTAATGTGCAGCCAAGGTTGAGAACCACTGGTCTAGAAGATCACCTGTGCACACATCAGTGTTTGCATTCGGGGCCTCTGAGACTGTCCCTGTTAAAATATTCTGACAAGTCTCAGATCTCTTTCCTGGGTTCTGGAACAGTGCCTCCAACTGACATTTCAATGTCTCTACCTGGTTATCCTATAAACACCTCTCACCATGTCCCAGACTGAACTCTTCTGTCGACTTCCTGTGCCCTTGCTCCTGTGGTCTCTCCCTCATCAGTCATCCAGGCTGTCACCTTGGGACTCATCCTTGAGTCCTCTCTCCCTGTGCTCTGCTCGCAAGCACAGCCTTACCATCTCTGGTTTCTATCTCTTCTCTCCATCCCAACCACTACTGTCTCATTTCAGACATGTGCCATCCCTCAGATGGATCTCCACAGCAGGCTGATCCATCTGACCCCTCTCCCTCCAATCAATCTGTCCTCTTTTCAGCTGTGATAAAACAACACAACAAAGCACATGGTTGCTTCCCAGAGCTACGTATTCCGTCTTTGGCTATGTCAGATGGCTAAAAGTTTTCTTCGTACCGGTGACACATTTTCCTACAGATTTCAATGACTGGTAGTTGTTCTGCACTTTGGGGCCCCACTGCACCTCAGCAGACTGAAGGACACTCTCACAAAGCCCCAAGTCTTCTCTTCACCAGGCTGAGCAGACTCCTGGTTTAAACCACAGCCTTTAAATGAGAAGGGGCTGAATGATTTTGTGGGAGGGAAAGCTAAGGCCAGGAAAGGGGCAGGGATGGTGTCTGTCTCACACCCAGTCACTCTAGTGTTGAGTAGGGAATCTGGCACAGGGAAGCTACTCCATAAATAGATATGAAATGGATGGATTTGTGTAAGGGAGTGCCTTGCCTACAGTCACAGAGAATTGGTAACAGAAAGAGGATTTAGATCCAATTCTCCCAATTCCTTTTTGAGGTTGCTAGATCTCAGGCAAATTAGTGAGCCTCTTGTGGCTTCTGTTTCCTTCTCTATACGATCAAGATTAACCGTCCTATTTCATAGATTATGAGGATAAACTGAGCATGTGAAGCATTTAGCACAGTCCCTGGCACATGGAAAGGACTAAATAAATGGTAGCCATTATTATTATCTCACACAGCAACTGAGGTGGGTGTGGAGGTCCAGGTGTTTGCTTATGTTAAGGGGAAGAAAATCTAGGCTAAATATATCCTTTAGGCAATTTACCTAAGAAGTGAGTTGAATGTGTTATTGCACTGCATCGAGGTTTTTACAGAATAAACTGGTAACACTTATCTATTTGCTACCCTGTGCAGGACGGAATTGGTGGTGGGTGTCACAAAGGAGCTGACAATGAACATCAGCCTAACTAACTCTGGGGAAGATTCCTACATGACAAATATGGCTTTGACTTACCCCAGAAACTTACAGTTTAAGAGGATACAAAAGGTAACTATGACAGCAGTTTGGGAGACATGCCACTCATGGCTTTTCCTCCCTGCATACTCTCTTTTTCTATGGCAGTCTCCAAACTGCCTCCAGCTTCATCTTGGCCCATTCAACAAATGATTTAAATCAACTGGAGTGGCTCAGTGGTTGAGTGTCAACCTATGAACCAGGAGGTCATGGTTCAATTCCCGGTCAGGGCACATGGCCGGGTTGTGGGCTTGATCCCCAGTAGGGGGTGTGCAGGAGGCAGCGGATCAATGATTCTCTTTCATCATTGATGTTTCGCTCTCCCTCTCCCTTCCTCTTGGAAATCAATACAAATATATTAAAAAATAAATTAACTGGATGAAGCCCCTCAAACCAACTACATGCCATTCTCTGTCTCACAAACCTTCAATGGTGCCATTTGTTGCACAATCACTCCTCCCTGCCACAGCCTTTCCTAACCCAGGTTCTGAGAGAGAAGTAATCTCTAATAACTTAACTGGGACTAAAATGTAAAGTCTGCCCTGCCATTCATCAGCCTGGGATTGCAGACAGGAAACCAGCTGCAAGATACTAGGAAATGGTATTTTTCCCAAGGACACCCTGCAGCTATAAAGTATCATAACATTGAGCAACTGTGTTCTCTAAAGTCTTTGGAAATCAGAAACTTTGCTTTTTGAAGTTGTATCTGTAATTATGAAACCACCTCACGCTTGCCTGGAGAATCTAAGTCACTTTGACAAAGAGAAGCAGTCTATATCCTCCTGAGGTACAGAGCTGCACGTATAGCATTTCTGGACAAAACTTTTCACATCCATCCGAATAGTTCCCAAGGACATGGGTCCCTGGGTCCACTCCGCAGTGCAGACCTGATGTTGAGTGACCCTTTTACACACAGCCCTGCTTTATTTTTAACCTATCAAAACACTGCTTCATTGACATCTCACCTCACCACCACCCTTCCCCGGAGTCCTTCAGTAACTGTCTTTTCCTTTGGTAAGACACACCAGTGAAGTTTTCCTCTATAAGGAATCAATAAACCCGGCTTTGTCAGACTACGGTCTGTCCCTGAAGGTCTTAGGCTATTTGGCCTAAGGCAGCATCCATTATATGGAAAGAATGAAATGATCTCCTGAGCATCCAGAATGGAACTGGTGATGCACCCTCCTTGGAGAATTAAGAAAATAGTAGTTAAAAAAAAAAGCAGATGCTCAAATTTTTCTCTGTATTCAGTGGTCCCGATGAGGAACCAGGATTGAAAACGGCAGCGTGGTGGTGCTGGGGCTCATGCTAGCCTTCTAGTCCATCTTAGTTATGTTAAACTTGCAGTGGCCCAAGGCCCAATTCAAATGTCTCCTTCCCTAGGAAGACTTTCATTCATCCAAGTTGAAATTCATCTTCCTCTACTGCTGTTCTCTGTACCTCTCTCACAGAACCACTCCTTAAGCCTTATATTTAAATTCCTCAACCATCTACCACTGAGCCCTCCTGCCCAGCTTTCTAGGAAGACAGGGACCAAGTCTGATTTGTGTCCTCAGCTCTTGGCAAGGTGTCTTGAATGTGAAAAAAATGAGCAAATGATGCTAAATTGGTGTGAGAAAACTTTTTCTTTACCTTTTAAGAACAGTCTTTTCTGTGTTAACAGCCTCCTTCCCCAAATATTCAGTGTGATGACCCTAAGCCAGCTGCTTCTGTCCTGGTCATGAAGTGCAAGATTGGTCACCCCATACTCAGGAGGGCATCTGTGAGTGTTTGGATTGGCTGACTTGTCTCACTACCCTGGAGTTGGTGTCTTCTACTTTCCTGTCCCACTGGAATCTCAGTTGTGGTCCCATGGTTCCCTTCACTGTACAGTCAATCCATAGCTGTGCTTAGAACTGCCAAGTCGGCTCTGAAAGTAGGGAGAGGTAGGTGGGGGAATACAGCCAGACAAATTGTTGGCTCACTACAGAGTGAAATAGCACGTAGTATGGAAGGGTCATCAGACCCAAAGTTATTAGTCCTGAGGTGAGTCCCTGATGTGCCACAGAGGATCTTTGTGCTGTGAGAATCTCTGAAATGTTTGCTCAGTTGTAAAGGGGAATAAGGTGACATGGAATAACAAATGTGGAAGCCTGCTATGATACAAAAATGTGAGCAATATAAACTATTTCCCAGGTCTGTCTCGTTAGTAGGAAGTAGTTTGAATTGTGAGTGGTATAGAGAAGTGACTTTTTTTTCTCTCTCTTTTTTTCAAAATAGGCAAACTTTTCAGTAGTTTGGCAGCTAGAGGAGAGTGCCTTCCCAAACAGGACAGCTGACATCACTGTGACAGTCACAAAGTAAGTAGTGTCTATGCCACAGCAGACCCAGGCTACGGCCCTGGAAGAAATCTTCCTCCCACGTGCCCGAGGAGGGGACTTCAGTGAGCCCAGAGAAGGCACCTGTGTCCCCATGGTTATCAAATATATTTAAACATTCTTTTATTGACACACAAAGTAAAACTCCGGTATAGTGTGGAAAAATGAACCTTGGACTGGAGTTCTAATTCTGGTTCATTTAATTTTGGGGAAGCTTTCACCTGCAAAACCTCTATGTTTGGGGGTAGGATGGGATATGGTGTTGGGGAAGGGTTCTCAAATAAAGGTGATACTGTCCCTCAGGGGCAGTTCCTGGAGATATATATTAAAAAAAATATTTTTATTGATTTCAGAGAGGAAGAGAGAGGGAGAGAGAGACATCAATGATGAGAGAGAATCATTGATTGGCTGCCTCCTGCACACCCCACACTGGGGATCGAGTCCGCAGCAACCCGGGCATGTGCCCTGACCAGGAATTGAACTGTGACGTCCTGGCTCATAGGTCGACGCGCAACAACTGAGCCATGCCGGCAGGGCTACGTGAAGATATTTTTGATTGACACGACATGGGGGGGTCCTACTGGCATCTAGTGGGTAGAGACCAGGGATGCTGCTAAACATCTTACAATATACAGGACAGCCTCTCACAATGGATTACCTGGCCCAAAATGTTAATATTGTTGAGGCTGAGAAACCCTTCTAAACCAATTTCGCCAAGCCTGGACTTGAGCAACTCTTCTGCACTCTGCTTATTTCCAAGAGTCTTTTCTTATCTGACCCCTGATGACCCTGGGAAGCCAAGGTATAGAAACAGCCACATGTACAAAGCAGGTGTGCTGTGCACTGACACTCTTATTTCTTAGTGCCAATGGAAGAAGCTCTTTGGTCAGAGAGACCCACAGACTTCACTTCAAGCATGCCTTCATTGCAGTCCTTCCCAAGTAAGCACCTCCAAGGGGCAAACACCTAGGGGACAGTTTGGAGCATTCTCTCTTGTGGGTGGAACTGGTGGGCAGGCTGGATATGGGGACTGCCTTTCTTTGAGAAGAGGCTGCTTAAAACCCAGGCTCCCATCGATCTCTAGGACACTAACAATGGTTCCTAGAAGCCCATGGTAGTAATCAAAGTAGTACTGTCAACTGGTCTTGCTACAAAAGGGTCCTGACATGATGCTAAGAAGGGAAGAAGAGAGGGGTTATGGGATTGAAAAGGAAGGAGAAAAGTAAGGCCACTCTGAAGAATGATAATTAGATAAAGAACCAGCCCAAATATATACTACTCAAATATTCTGCCCACTCCCAACTGCCCTACCACCAATTTACATGTTAATATTTAGCTTTGATTCCTCTTAAGGATCTGGTGCTAATGTACCCAACTAGTAGCATTCAGGTTCACTTAAAACAAGGGGGCCTTGAGGCTAACACATGTCCTCTCAATTGCAGACCAGCAGTGATGTACATGAACACAAGCCAGGGGCTTTCTGACCACAAAGAATTCTCCTTCAATGTAAGTGCTTAGTACTTATTATTGCAAAGCTACAAGTGACAAAGCAACACCAACTCTGACTTCCTACTCTTTGCAGATCCATGGGGAAAACTTCTTTGGAGCCGAATTCCAGCTGCAAATCTGTGTTCCAATTAAAATACAAGGGCTCCGGCTTATAAGAGTGAAGAACCTGACAAAGACACAGGTACTTAGAGGCGGTTCTTGACTCTATCACAATTGCATCTCTTTTCAGAGTGACTACAGATTCTTAAAGGTATAAAAACTAGAGTTCTAGAAAAAGAGTAAAAACGAGATTAGTTGACCTGAGAACACATTAGGAGTAAATTATCAAAGTCATGTTCAGAAGGATTATCAACCACCACCTCTTAAAGCAATATTTGTTTACTTCCCTTGATAAAAAATAAGCAAAAACTCAAAACTTTTTTAGTAGCCATGGAGACATTTATTTTCCTGTTGAAAATTGCTAAATCCTACTTCTCTGTGACTGGCAAATGAGCTTGATAAATATATGGCATTTCTTGCATGTCTCCTATAAACTGTTTTACCATCTTCCCTTTCTCTCTCCCTCTAATCTGTCTGTCTTGGTCTCTGCTTTGCTACAGCCTCTTTGCCCTTGGTTGACTCCTGAGCTGTAGAATGGTTCCCAAAGCCAGCCTGCCAATACCTATAGGCTCTGATTAGTATGACAGCTGAGACCTTGGGCTTTCCTGAATTTTTTTTCCCCCTTAGGCTACATAAAGTGTCAAGGCTCAAAAATGAAAAAATGGAGAGAAACCTACAGAATAGACTCTGCTGACAGAAACAAAATTCTTGTTTGAAAAGCTGATTAGAATAGGAATTTCACCCTCCCCTGGGGATAGAGATCGAAAACAACACTGCGGGCTTTCAAGGCTAGTGGTCGCTCTCCCTTTGGGGCGGTAAGGCACCTTTGACTTACTTAAATAGACTGTGTTGGCAGAGCAGGTCAGTGGCAGAGCTGAAGTTCAGCATTGTCCCATGGAAATGTATGATGTCTTTCTTTATTTGCTTCAAGGCAGGGGTGTTACATTTCCTCTTGAAGACCATTTCCTTCAGAATCTTATCTGTGAGGTAATGTAGCCAGAGCACATTACTGTAAGGGTGATATTCACCCCAGCAGTTGTTGTTCTCCTTCTTCATTAGCCTGTAGATCTCAAACTGGTAGTCACCTTCACCTGTAAAAAGGTCCTCATCCATGGAAATGTCACAGAAAACCACGACCCCATCCCGCTCCAAGCGTGACAGGGTGTAGTCAATGATGTTGACTTGCAGCCCACAGGTGGGGATAGTACCTGTCTTCCCGCTGAGGGTGTAGTGGACTTCCTTGAGGCTGGTTTTCTTTAACAGCACATTCCCCCAGTGTAAGTCTCGGTGCTCAAAGTGCAGCGATGCCTCTGCAACGGCAAGGGATGCGGTGAGCTGGTGCAGAATGCTCTTTGCAGTAGCTATGGAGGACAGCGTCTTTCTCCTTTGCTCTAAGTCAATTCCTCCAAATTCAAATTCAAGCACAATGAAGAGCTGGTCTTGGTCGAAAAAGTCAGGCCGATCATTTGCAGACCCTCTGGTTGAGTTATAGTGATCCCAGGCTTTGAGGAGCAAGGGAGGGTAAGGTCCACGAACACAGTGCACTGAGTTCAGCCCAATAAAGCCTTCTGTGCGGTGGCATGCAGCATCAGACAGGAGGCTCAACTCTTTGGAGATGATGATCTCTGGGAGGATTTCCTCAAAAGTTTTCTGATGGGATCCATTGACTAAATCTGGTCCTTCAATAGCAATGATTTTTAGGGCTACTGGTGTACAATTAGCAATTATTTGAAACACTTCTCCAAACACTCCTTCCCCAATCTTCTCACAGCTTTCCAGTTCCTCCGTGGAAAGGCAAGAGCTAAAGGGGATAGGACCCTCCTGGTTGCATTCCCTATAAACCTTTTCAGCATCAGATGCCTTTTGGTCTGCGACATGCAGTGTCTTTAAGGGGGTGAGCAAATACATGGAAGAGGAGTGCCAAGGGGACGGGGCACTGCTTGTTGTTTTGTTCAGGACAGGCGGGTTTGAATATTCGGACATGAAGGACCCCGAGGGAGAACTGGTAGTGGCGTTGTTGCTCACGTCTGACACAGCGGTCACGATCTTTTTCTTATGGAAACTGAAGGAAGCCCTGGCTTTGGTCCAAGAGCAGTCATTCTGTAATGGAGTCAGGTCCTGGGTAAGGAGTGAATCTTTGCCCATCCTGTGGCCCTTTTTAAACTGGTCGTGATGGAGGAGGGAGGTTTCTACTGCCTCCCGATGTTTCCTTTTCTGGCCTGGCCCAGTTCTCTCAGGCCTGTTGGTTTTCCCGGGTCCTTTGCAGCTCTTGCAACCACTGGCCTCCCCATATTCTGTCGGAACAGCCCCTTGAGCCCCAGTCTCTTGACAAGAGTCCTTGTCTGTGGCCCTCTTCCTCCGCCTGCTTGACAAAGCTGGGCTCTCCAGCCTCTTCCCCATCAGTTCCCTTGCACAGCGGGACTCCCTCATATCCTTCCCACCTGTCCCAAACTCAGAATCCTCAGGGTCCCCCGAGTCCGTAAGGCTAAAGAGAGCTGACGTGAGGCTTGCACGAGCGTGGCGGGCCAAGCTGGTGAACCCGCCTCCTCCTGTTGCTGCCTCCTGGGAGCAGGAATGAGGTGCTTGGTCCGGAGAGGTGGCATCCAGAGAGGTAGAGGGGCCGGTACCTATGACACTGTCTCCCGGCGCTGGGGACCCGCGGCCGGGGCCGGGAGAGGCTGGGGAGCTAAACAGGGAGGCACTGGTGCCCAGCTGGCCGCCGTCGCTGGGCTGGCTGCACACGCTGAGGTCCGGGCTGAGGCGGCCCGGGGTGCTGCTGGGGAAGGGCGGCGGCCCGAGTGGGCTGCAGGGCGTGCTGCACTTCCGCGGCGGCCGCGCTCGCAGCCTCAGGCGTCTCGGAGTCATGATCAGGCTCGGCCGGGCCTTGGAGGTTCGCCCGCCAGCTCGCCTCCGCCGCGGACCCACCTCGCTGCAGAAGTCGGGGTCGTCAGAGTCGTCGGAGGCGGCGGGCGGCGAGGGGTCGTCACTGCTGGCGTTGCTGCTGCTGGTGCTGCTGAAGAAACGCTTTGAGTCTTGAGGCGCGAACCACTGCGCGCCGGCCCGGCCCGACCGCCACCGCGGCCCCCCGCCGCCCACAGCCCCATACGTTCGTAAGAGCCGGTTCCGGGGTCGCGGGACTGGCTCCGCCATGGCTCTCACCCGCCAAACTGTTCAAATGAAAACATCGCGAGACTTCCGGAGGACGCTGGCGTGGACGTGGACACGCCCCCCGGCCGGCCCGCACGTCGGGTCCTAGCGCCCCCTCCAGCGCGCATGCGTATCACCCCGGTCTCGCGGGTTTGGCAGGGGGCGCTTTCCCACGGCGCTTTCGCGTCCTCATTCGTCGCGGCGATGGCTCTCGTTTCAGGCGCACACCGTGTGCACCCAGGGTCCGGAGCGCGCTTGTGGGAGCGAGGCGGTTCAGGTGAGCGCGGCGGTGCCGAGAGGCCATGGAGGGAGGAGGGTCTGAAGCGGGTGACCGGAAGGGCCCGGGTACAACTTGGCCGCAGTTTCCCCCGAAAGCACGTGCAGGGCGGCCCCAGCGCCCTCCTCGGTCTCTTCCCCGGGTCTCGTGTGCCGAGGTTGCGGCTTTGCTTCCGCCAGGGGAGCGAGGGAGCTGCTCACATCTGCCCCGGGACCTTCAGGTGCCCCGTGTGCTGAGGGTGACAGTGACAGGGATGGTGCTCACCAGCCTTTCCGTCCCCAGCCCGTGGAGGAGTGGCTTTCGGTGCGCTGTGCCATCGCTTCCGACAGAGAAAACGTGACGGTGGCAGCGGAGCTCGCCGCGAGTCAGTCTGAGCAGGTACTTGAGGTTGCGAAATGCTCCAGATGGGCTTGTCCTGCAGCTGCCGGCACCTGCCTCCCCTAGAAAGAGCCGTGGCCGGACCGCGCATCTCCAGTATCACATGTCCTTGGCCCCCCTTCTGCCCCAACCCGCTCCTTACCCCGTTACTCAGGGCAGCTCACCTCCCCAGTTACTCTCTAGGAACTTCTTGGGCCTCCTCCCTTTCTTACTGGCGCATGTCTGTTCCCACAGTAAACTCTCCTATTCCATCTCCAAAGTACATTCTAAGTCCATTCACTCCTGCTTGGCCACTGCTACCCTGTCGTTCAGGCTGCCCTCTTTGGCCCAGAACGTTGCCCCAACCTTCTGTCTGCTCTTCTTGCCTCTGCCCTTGCCATGCCCTTCTCCTAACATTCCTCACAGCCACCTTTTATTTTTTATTTATTTTTATTTTTTGTTAATCCTCACCCTAGGATATTTTCCCATTGATTTTTAGAGAGAGGAAGAGAGAGGGAAAGACAGAGAGAAATATTGATGTGAGAGAAACGCATTGATTGGTTGCCTCCTGCACGCACCCTGACCAGGGCCTCGGCCAGGGAGGAGCCTGCAACCGAAGTACGTGCCCTTGATCAGAACTGGTCCCCAGGCCGACGCTCTATCCACTGAGCCAAACTGGCTAGGGCAACAGCTACCTTTTAAAAACAAACATTATGCTTTTTAATACATTTGTCTTAAAATTCATACCTTTTCAGTAGTCTGCAAGGCCCTGCGTGATCTGGTCTCTGATTTCTTCTTCGACTTCATCTCCTCGTACTCTCCTCTGCCCAGTTTCTTATGCTCCAGCTGTTCTGTCCTTTCTGTGCCTCCATATTGTTCCATATTGTTTCAGCCACAGGCCCTTTGTACTTGCTATTTCTTCTCCATGACATTATTCTTCTCCCAGATCTTCATGTGTGTGGTTTCTTGTATTTAGCTCACATGTAACCTTGGAGAGGCCTTCCTTGAATACTCATTCAATAGTGGGAACTACGACCCAGTGTAACGTCTTGCAATGACCCAGATGACTGATGAGATCGGAACTGAAGAAATAGCTATGGGAATGGAGGCAAAGGGACAGGTGCAAGAGAGGCTCAAAAAAGGAAGAAGGGTCCTGGCCAGTGTGGCTCAGTGCATAGAGCATTGGCCCATGCACCAAAGGGTGGCAGGTTCGATTCCTGGTCAGGGGCACAACCTGGGTTGCAGGTCCCATCCTGAGCCCCAGTCTCTCTCACATTAATGTTTCTCTCCTTCTCCCCCTTCCTCCCCCTCTTTCCCTCCCGCACCTCCTTCATTCCCTAATACTCTCTAAAAATCAATGGGAAAGATACCTTCGGGTGAGGATTAACCAAAAAATAAATGAATGAATGGAAAAATGGTCAAGAAAACTGACTTGGGCGGGGTGGGTGAGGGTGTGACATGCGATAAAGGGGAAAGTTGTGGAATAACCACAGGTTTTTTGCTTGGGTAACTTTGTGGTTGCTGAGCTCATTAACTAAGCTAAGAAATACGTAGGATGGAACACATAAAAGGAAGGATGGTGAATGCTGTACAGAAACAGTAAGTCCATGTCTAAAACACGTTTTCTCCCCCTCTCCCCTTGTAGTTCCTAAGAGATGTAACTGAACTGCAGATCCTTGGTGAAATTTCTTTCAACAAATCTCTGTATGAGGGTCTGAATGCAGAGAACCACAGAACTAAGGTAAGCCCTGTCTTTGGGGTGGTGTCCTAGGAGAACTGCTCAGCCTCAGGGCCCCTGTACAGCACTCTGCTGTGGCCCTGTTCCTGTTTTCAGTCTTATCACCTCCGATCTTGACTCTGTCATCAACTGCCTCTGTGACCTTGAGCTAGTCAGCTTCTGCCTCAATTTTTCCATCTGTGAAATGAGGCAATTACATAAGAGGCTTAAGCTGAGGATGTCTAAACTGAAATAACTAAGCTGGAACCATAAGCTACATATGCTTTGATTTGAAAAGGTATTTAAAATTTTTTTCTCAAAGTGAGAAATGATTGTTTGCATGCATGAACTCTCTAGTGTGTAGTGTCAGAGTTTAATGATAATATTAACCAGTTACAATACTCAGAGTGCATACTTCTTTGATAGGTCTTAGACTCAGTGCTGGAACTCCTGGGGTTTGTTCTGCTGAAGTCTGACCACAGGTCAAACGGATGTCTGTGATCTGTGGGCCAAATGGAGTGTGTGCTCCCCTGAGCTGTCATTCTTGTTGACACTCACCTAGATGTGCTGCTGGCTTTCGAGATGCTCCATCTGTGAGCTCTGTAGTTAGGCATGATTCATTATTAGAAGGAATGTTAAGAGAGTGAGACTGGATTGCTAAATATTGGGTCCTCTGATTTTCTTTCTGGAGGAGGAGGAGAAAGGAACAGTTCTCTAGACGTGTCAGGAATAACATTTCCCTTTATTTTTAGGCATTTCTAATATAGAAAATGATACGAAGAAAGAGAAGTGCCCCATTATCCCACTGCCCAGATTTTTAAAAAATCCAATAATGCTTAGAAGAAAATCCAAGCCTTATAGAAAGATACCAGATGAAAAATGATGGTTCCTTTACTTCCCCTCTTCCCACACCCCAGCTTCCTCTTCCCAAAGGGAGGTTATGTTAACAATTTCTGATATGCATATTCTTAAATTATTTAGGTACTTCCTCCTCTTACTGATATTTTTATTCTACAGTATAGATTCCTTATAATTATTTTCTTTAAATTTGATACCCTAAGCAAAGTATTAAGTAGTTCCTGACAATAAGCACCTGACTTACAGTGAATCTATGAGTATAAGTAGCAGTATATCCAAGTGCATGTCCGCTGCGGGTACCATAAAAGGAGGGAGGCAGACCAGGGTCAGTGGTCTGGCTCCTTTGTCTCATTGGCAAAGGGGGCAACCAGGCTTTGTCTTGATTAGCTTAGACCAGTCATGGTTTCTGAACAAAATCTGAAAGGAGAGAATGGCTGTGGAGGAGGCCCCCATCGGTATTTGCTACAAGCAGTGGTGTCCTGTGTCCTGCGTCCTGCTTCCCCCTTCACCTCCACCGGGCAGCCCTGGGGCACGTTCGAAACCTGTGGGTTTGGGAGAGGAAAAGGGAAGAGACTTTGAGAAATAGGAGCGTTTCTTCCACTCAGTTCTGGTCTGGCAAACCACTGTCACCTTGGGGCTTCCTTTCATCACTTTCCTTGTCCTTCCCCCCTTCACTTCCACAGAAGGAAAAACAAGCTCCCTTCCTGGTCTTCCTCCCTCCCTGTTGCTTTGCTCCCCCCTAACTGTCAAGGCCTAGAACCTAATCCTTGTAAGGTCGGCTGTGTAAATAGGGCCTGGAGGGTCAGCCCTAGGAAGTAACCACCATCTGTAGCTCAATAGGAAGAGGCCTCACAGATAAATTTGTCCAGCCTTCCACCCCATACAGAATTTCTCTCCGAAGCATTGCTGACCTGGGTGCTTAAACATTTGTGTGAAAGGAGCTCACTGTTTTGGGCAGGCAAAGCTGTTTTTTTTTTCCCGTTTGTCTGTTTGTTTTATATGGTTTTTTAAAAAATTGATTTTAGAGGGAGAAAGAGAGAGAGAGAGACATCAGTCTGTTGCCTCCATCCGTGCCCTGACCGATAATGGAACCCGCAGCCTTTCGGTGCATGGGATGTTGCTCCAACATCCTGGCTGGAGCCAGGCAGAGAAGCTTGGCTGGCCCTTGGGCCCCACTTAAGTCCTGGGACCATGATGTGTTGTGTGTATGCTGGACACAACTTGGGACGTTCCTATCTGGGTCTCACTTGGAAAGCACATCCCCTAAGCTCCCAGCTGAGTCTTGTTTGTGAAAAGACAGCTTAGACACTGAAGTTGAGACAACAGTGCTGGGATGGCTTCTATAGGAAGAGCTCTCCAGGTTGTACACATGGGTGCTGTTTTGCATTATTTTCCCGTCTCAAAGTAACATATACTTTAGTCTGGTGAGGAGCAGAACAGTGTGTTTGTCTTATATTTCGGGTGAGGGAAAGTGTCAGACTTTAGGGATTTGTGGAAGCTCAAAAAGAGCTGTCAGAACAGAGCTGGAATGCCTTAACCAGTCTGGCTCAGTGGATAAAGCATTGGCCTACAGGCTGAAGGGTCACAGGTTCGATTCCGGTCAAGGGCATGTACCTTAGTTTTGGGCACATCCCCAGTAGGGGGTGTGCAGGAGTCAGCTGATATTTCTCTCTCATCGATGTTTCTAACTATCCCTCTCCCTTCCTCTCTGTAAAAAGTCAATAAAAATATTTAAAAAAAAAACAGAGCTGGAAGATCATTTACAAAAAGTCATCATTTTGAAGGTGAAGCTTGGGGATCAAGGATGTATAATGGCATAGCTGGGTGTAGAATCTTAATTTTCGGTCAGTCTTTAAAACCTGAAGACCTCAATCCCGTGGGACCCTCTGTTAAACTGTCAGAGAATCCTTAACAGAAGGTCACAGTCTCCTGACAGACTTAGCTCTATTTCTGCATTACAAATCAAAATAGTTTCTATAAAGTATTTTGGTCATTAGATCATGTTACTGCGCTCTTTTTTTCCCCTCAGTTTTTGTTCTGTTTGCTTTTTGAGGATTCTATTATCTAGCTCAGAGATTCTTTGCTTAGCCAAGTTCTGTCTACGTGCTGTCTGCTTTATCCATTAGAGGCCTTAGCATATTGATCATAGTTGTCTTAAATTCCCCGTCTGATAATTCTAACATCCTTGCTATGTCTAGTTCTCATGCTTGCTCTGTCTCTTCAAGTTGTGTTTTTTGCCTTTAGGAACTGCTATAAATAGGCCTTTAGTAATGTGGTGAGGTATGGGGGGAAGGTAAGTGTATATCATCCTATAAGTAGGTCTCAGTCTGTTACTGAGCCGATGTTCTGCTCTCACATTGATGTTTCTCTCTCTCTCCCTCTCCCTTCCTCTCTAAAAATCAATAAATTATCAAACATGAGTAATGTTGCTTAAAAAAAGAACAGAGTGCTCTGGTGTATTTCAAAATGGCATATTTCCTGTTGGGAAGCCAAGAGATTCTTCTCCAGTATTTACTGTGGGAACCTGGTCGAGCTCCTGGAGGTAAATCTCAATGTGGTGGGGGCCCCTATGACTGGGTTTCCTGGCGTTTTTTAACTCTCAGAGTTGTCCGCACTGAGCCTCCAGCAGTTCATCAATTATAGTTCAGGTTTTCTTTCCTTTTTTTTTTTTTAAATCCTCATTCAAGGATATTTTTTCCATTGATTTTTAGAGCGAGTGGAAGAGAGAAGGAAAGACAAAAAGAAATATTCATGTGAGAGAAACACATCGATTGGTTGCCTCCTACACGAGCCCCAACCAGGGCCCAGGGTGGGGAGGAGCCTGCAACCAAGATACGTGCCCTTGACCAGAATCAAACCCGGGACCCTTCGGTCTGCAGGTCATCACTCTATCCACTGAGCCAAACCGGCTAGGGCATAGTTCAGGTTTTCTATCCCAGCACTGTAAGCTTCTACTCATATTTTGCTCCTTAAAATAATGTGTGGCACTTTTTTCTCATTTGCTTTACCTGACACAACTTTGTCTTGTTCTAGATCACGGTCATCTTCCTGAACGAGGAGGGGTACCTTCCTTTGCCTCTCATCATCGGAAGCAGTGTCGCTGGCTTTCTGGTTTTGATAGTGATTATAGTCGTGCTATTCAAGGTCAGTTCTATCGTGTTTATACAGGCCCTGGGGTTGGGCACAGTACTTTCGGGGACAGCCAGCCCCTGACTTCGAACAGCTGCCTGGCTGTGTGGCCACTTTACCCTCTTCCTTCCACCACACATCTGTGTAGGCAAATGAGTAAGACAGTTTCTGTCTGAAAAAAATACAAACCGAATTGAAGTATTGGAGTAAAGAGAGCTTTTCCTGAAACAGATTTGATGGTTGTTCCCTGTTTAAATCCTTTCCTTCCCTTCCCCTCTTTTAATATTCAAACTTTTTCTGCTGTTCAAGATTCTCACTCCCCGGCTTCTACCCGCTCACCCTAAGTCTTGCTTTTTTCTCCAGAGTTGAACTAAATAGGCTTGTGTCTTTGTGCTGGCAGTCAAGCTATCCACCCCACCCGCAGGCTGTTTTTCACGTTTTCACCATGTTCTCACTCTTCCCTTAAAACCCGGCCCAGGGACTCCGGAGTCCTCTGAGCTGAGGTGTAGCTTTTCCTGTGAGCTCCCTGCTGGAAATCCAGAAGTGGCTCTGTGTGCTAATTACTTCTCTTTCTACTAGATTGTGCGTTTCTTGCTGTAGGACACTGTACTTGATCATCTAGCCTCAGCATAGTGGGCTGAGTACTTTTACATAAATAAGATCCGGTACAGCCCAAACTGTAATACTTTGCACAATTAAAAGTTAAAAAGGTTAAAGAGCTCCGTGGTTTCAGAGAAAGGTCAAAAGTCCCTTCTGACTGGGGAGTGAGCACCAGGAAGGCTGTGGAAAGGCAGCATTTAGGACGGATCTTGGAAGACTGTGAACTGGGAGAGATTCAGAGGGAGCCTGAGAAGCCAAGGAGTGTAAGGGCTCTTTTGGCAACAACCAGGTAAATGGTTTTCTGGGACAGATGGGCACCTTCGGTCTGAAATTGGGCTTCCCCCCCTTTGTTTTAGTGTGGCTTTTTTAAAAGAAAATACCGACAACTGAACTTGGAGAGCATAAGGAAGGCCCAGCTGAAATCAGAGAATCAGCTCGCAGAAGGTGAGGACCAGCTTCCTCGTCCACTGGGAGAGAACGTCAGCTAGTCCTCAACTCCTGGAGACTTGGTGTTGTACTGATGACCTGGTCTTGTAGGAGGATGCAGGGCAGAATCTGATAAATTGTCAATACAGTATTGTTTTTCAGTAATACATCGTCCCAAAAGTGCCTCTGCATGTGCAAAAATGAACTTGGGAAAGATTTGGTGTTAAATAGTGTTAAACTGTTTTCTTTACAGAAGCGTTTTTAATATACACATATAATATACTTTGTAGTTCTTTTTTCCTCCCAAGAAATTATATAGCATTTCTCAACATTGTGTAAGAATGCGTTTTTCTCGTCATTATTGTTGATGTCTCCAAAATAGTGTGCTATGAAGTTCATCCTGCAGGGACAGTGGTTAAAAGCGGTTCCTACTCTGGTATTTCAACATCCTCAGCTCTTGCCTGTTATTTCAAATCAGGCCACAAAAAGCCTCCCAGAACAAATGTAAAAAGTATAAAAACAAAAGTCATCAAAACAGGCACTAGGAGGAGAGGCAAAGACAAGACGAGGATTTTATTCTGTAGCTTCATTTAAAAAAATATATATTTTATTGATTTTTTACAGAGAGGAAGGGAGAGGGATAGAGAGTTAGAAACATCTATGAGAGAGAAACATCGATCAGCTGCCTCCTGCACATCTCCTACTGGGGATGTGCCCTGCAACCAAGGTACATGCCCTTGACCGGAATCGAACCTGGGACCTTTCAGTTCACAGGTCGAGGCTCTATCCACTGAGCTAAACCGGTTAGGGCATTAAATATATTTCTTTATTGATTTAAGAGAGGAGGGGAGAGGGACAAAGAGATAGAAACATCAATGATGAGAGAGAATCACTGATTGGCTGCCTTCTGCATAGCCCCTATTGGGGACCAAGCCCGCAACCCGGGCACGTGCCCTTGGCCAGAATCGAACTGGGGACCTTTCAGTCTGCAGGCCATCGCTCTGTCCACTGAGCCAAACCGGCTAGGGCTATTCTATTTTTTTAAATATGTTTTTGTTGATTTGAGGGTGGAAGGAAAAGGAAGAGAGAGATAGAAACATCGATGATGAGAGAGAAGCATTGATCGGCTGCCTCCTGCATGACCGCTACTAGGGATCAAGCCTGCAACCTAGGCAAATGCCCTGACTGGGAATCGAACCATGACCTACTGGTTCATAGGTTAACGCTCAAACACTGAGTCACATTGGCCTGGCTACTCTGCCAGACTTTAGTGGGAGCTTTGCATTCCCTCCTCTGCCTGCCTCACAGCCTGCCCTTGGCCCCAGCCCCTTTGGGAAGTTTCTCCCTCCCTCCCTCCTGCCCTCTCTCCCTCTTTCTCTCTCTAATCATGTCCTACGGGGTGAGGATTTTTTAAAAAGTCAAGTTGCCCTGACCGATTTGGCTTAGTGGATAGAGTGTCGGCCTGCGGACTGAGGGGTCCCAGGTTCGATTCCGGTCAGGGGCATGTACCTTGATTGTGGGCACTTCCCCAGTGGGGGGTGTGCAGGAGGCAGCTGATTGATGTTTCTCTCTCATTGATGTTTCTAACTCTCTATCCCTCTCTCTTCCTCTCTGTAAAAAATGAATAAAAATATATTTTAAAAAAAGTCAACTGAAGTGTGTGTATATGTATCCTATATAATAAAAGGATAATATGCAAATTGACCCTAACAGCGGAATGATTGGGAACAACCGGTTGTTATGACACAGACTGACCACCGGGGGGGAGACGCTCAACACAGGAGCTGCCCCCTGGTGGTCAGTGCGCTTCCACAGGAGGAGCTCTGCTCAGCCATAAGCCAGGCTGATGGCTGTGGTGGCAGGAGCCTCCTCCACAGTGCTAAGAATGTCCAACTGACAGCTTAGGCCCACCAAGGAGCTGGCCTAAGCTGTCAGTGGATATTCCCCAAGGGCTCCTGGGCTGCTAGAGGGATGTCTGACTGCCAGGTGAGGCCCGATCCCTTGGGGAGTGGGCCTAAGCTGGCAGTGGACATTCCCCGAGAGGTCCTGACTGCGAGAGGGCGCAGGTCGGGCTGAGGAACCCCCCCCCCCACCCCCAGTGCATGAATTTTCATGCACCAGGCCTCTAGTACACACACACACACACACACACACACACACACACACACACAACACTTTTTTTTTGGTTTTTTTTTAGGATCATATATTCTATTTGTGATCTTTTTCAAGGAATGATTTCAGAAAAAAATGCTGGGTGAGAGTGGGATAGGGAGAGGTAGTACCTTGGGTTAACATGCCTATGAGGAATTAATAAATTTGTATAGCTCTTTACATTTGTAAAGAAGCCCTTTCAGCTTTTTCCAAAAGTGGACTGAAAGATATTTTTGTAATCGCTATGCTGTGCCAAAAAGCTTTCCAGAAGGACCAAACCACAGAAGATAGGTATCAGCCACAAGAACATGTCCTGGGACCTCCGTTTCACTTCGCTTGTTTTTTAATGGGTATGTGATCATAGCTTTGATTGACAGCGAGACCGTGTACCTTCCTATGAAATAAGATGACAATTTTTTTGCTTGGGGCTTTACTTTTTCTTTCTTGTCCAGTTAAAATGTGGCTTTGGCTTTTTCTCAGCTCTTTCTGAACTGGGTCACCTGGCGTAGAAGTGCACTTTTCCTTTTGAACTTCAGAGCCGCTGGGCAGGTTAGGGATTTGGCCTAAGTAGACTCAGAGAGCAATGCGCCCTCCAGGATGGGGGATTCTGGCAGATGTGCTGGTGGGCATGAGGAAGCAGTGGGTGTGGTTTCTGTCCAGGGCCTGGGCAGCCCTGCCCAGAGCTCTGGCAGGTGTTCTCAGGCTCTGGTTAGCATCCTACCCTGGGGTATCTTTCCTCTAGAGCCCTGAGGTCTGCGACTAAGGTTGGAATGTTGGAGGGAGAAAACACGCCCATGTGGGTTCTGCTAGCTTTCCTAGCCTAGGAGAAGGCTACCAGCCTAATTCCTGGAATTCCACACTGCGGCTTGGGGCCCTTTGCATCCTGGATGAAGGCTCCCGGTGGACTGGTTAGCTTGTTAGGGCCACTCGTACCTCTAAGTGAGGGGTTTCTAACTCGTGTGTGTGCCATAGGCCGCTTTGGTCGTCTGGTGAAGCCTAGGGAGCCCTTCTCTTGATTTCCCAACATTGTGCTATGAAAACGTCCAAATATACAGAGAGTCGAATTTTACGGTGAAGACCTGTCTACCCACCACCTGGTTTCTTCCATTAACATTTTACTATGCTTGCTTTATCGCCTATTTTCCCATCTAGTCATCCATCAGCTTGTTTTTAAATATATGGAAGTTTACAAAGAACCAATTATATTGAACACGATGACCAGAATATTAAAAAATTATGATATGGAGATACATGTGCTTCTTCATTACTGCACTAAGCAGCAGGTCTAATAACTATGCTGCTTTCAAAGTCATGATGACCTTAAAGTGTGTTTTGAAGTATTCACCTGTAAGGTGATGGGAAAATACCTGAATTTCTATTGATGTTAAATATAGGTACTGCTGATCCTATGATGGTTTGTTGCCTACACTTTTAATTGAGAAAATTTTAAGTTTCAGTTAAAGGGTAGTAAACCAAAGAAGGAACATTTTTTCCATCCAACTTCACAGACTTCCTTCTCTACATACTCAGGTCCACTTAATAAAAGCTCATGTCCTGCCTGGACTTTGTACTTTTGCAGCAGATCTTGGTCACTCCAGGCAGTGTTCCCTCTGTTTTATAGAGGAGGAAACACTTGCCAAGGCCACAGGGCTGGGTATAAGGTAGAGCTGTCTTCCAGTAGGAAATTTTTGGATCTCCAGGTCTAATAGCTTTTCCACAGAAGCCGTATTACACACTGGGCAAGGCGGAGCTGACGTGGAGTGTGGTGGTTCTCGGGCTTCGCTGGGCAGAACAGTCAGAGCGGAGCTGAGCTCTTCAGGTTCCCTGGCCTCACACACTAAAGACACTGATGCTCAAGCCTGGCCTGGGCCCGGGCACCTACTGTTTTGGCAGGCACATGAGGTGACTGATGCACGAGCCACACCCTGTGAGATGCTAGCTATGAGATTATGCTTGAAGTCTTGATGACTAAGAAGCTGCTTCAGGTGACAAATTTAACTTCATTCTCTGGTAGAATTATCTCTTGAAATCTTATATGAATACTAGAGGCCCAGTGCACGAATTTTCGTGCACTGGGGAGGTGGGGGGTCGTCCCTCAGCCCGGCCTGCGCCCTCTCACAGTCCAGGAGCCCCTGGGGAATGTCCGACTGACGGTGTAGCAGGGGAGCAGGTCTAAGCTACAGTCTGGCCTCCCTCTGTGGGAGGTGACCGGTGGTTCTATCAGGGGACAGCACTGGCTGGTGAGCAGCTGGCCTCACCCCCCATGCTACCCCCCTCCCCCCCGCATTGCCGTCCCCCCCCTCTGCCCGCTGCCACCCGCCTTGGCTGGCCTGGCGCCACCCGCTTGCTGGTCCCGCCCCCCATCTACTGGTCTCCCCCCTTTAGTCGATTTGCATATTAGGCTTTTATTATATAGGATACTCACAAAAATAAAGGCTCAGTCACCCTACCCCAGACACTTTAAATATTCAGGCTAGTGGCAGAGGTAGGGTGATCGGAAATCAATCCATCCTCCCTTCCTTCCTCTCCTCCTTCCCCTTCCCTTCTCCGTCCTCTTTCCCTCCCTCCCTCCTCTTATTCTACAAGCTTCCCCGACTGCCTGCTTCAGGGTCCTGTGACAGAGTGGTAAAGCCCTTTCCTGCCCACAGATCCTGTCCTTTGGAGATTTAGAAAAAGAGACCCAGGAGGCTTTCGTGGAGATAGACCCTTGTAAGCTGAGCCTCGAAGCCATGAAGGGCTGAGGGGAGACCAGCCTGTGCAAAGGCACGGAGGCTGGGAAGGGAAGGATGTGATAAAGCTGGTGAGGCAGGCTCTGAGCCACGTGTGTGTCCCGGGGCATGTGGCTGAAGGGCAGGTGGGGACAGAAATCGCAATGGAAAGTGAGCATCTACAGAACTGTGTACAGGAATTATGGCCACACCACTTGCAGTTTTATGTGAAGATTTCCTGCTCATTCTTGTTTCATTACCACCACAGTCCTGTGAACTTGAGAGTGGAGAGGAGGGGATGGGTGGGAGGAATTTCACGAGGTCTGCGTAGGAAACTACTACAAGAAGCAGGAGGAAGAACAACGTGAGCTTGCGCTGAGGTGTCCGTGGTTGCTACTCTGTGGGTGTGGTTGGCCCGAGTTTGAATCTTTATCCTTTTCAGAGGCCAGTGGAGAAGCAATCTTTACTCTTCAAGTGTTTGCAACCTCAGTAGAGTCCCCTGGTGGAGTGAGAACTAAGGGATGAGTAACAACCCCTCAATTAAGATGGGTCACGGTTGCTTTGATGGGCTTGGAAATGCGTCCACAGAGAGGAGCCTTTCTTTTTCCTGTTGACTGTATCGAAACGACATTAATAATGCATCTGCTACTTCTTAAGTGGACCAGTAATGTCTATTAATGGAATGTGTTTATCGTAGCAGGACTGCCAGAGCAGAAGAAAAATTAAAGGATAATTTGTGAAACCCTTTCCACCCCTCGCCTTTCCCCCTCTTGTCCCTCTGGGCCACCCAGGATACTTAGGACTGCGAAGAAGTGCGGCTCTGTGCCTGGTCCTCGAAGGCCTGTGATGACCTCCTTGTGTGGCCGGGAACAGACTCAGTTCCTCCCTCCAGGCCTTGCATGAACCCTCCTCCTTTAAGGTGGAAATAGAGGCACAGTCACTGTGTCAGTAACATCTGAACCTCTATCCCAAGAACCGCAGTATTTAATGGGATTTATGGGGTTTCTGTGTTCTTCATTTTGCTTCCTTTAGTTATTGGAGAACCTTTTTTGAGTTGTTAGCTCTCAGGCTAAGGGGAAGGCTTTAGTACCAGGGGAAGTCCTCACGGGCTGAAGGAGGAACTCGTGTGTCTTTGGAGGATGCAGGGTGACCAAGTGCCACCTCCAAGCTGCTAATGGAAACACAGTGATGCCATTGGCCACTATCCTACAACCAACATGTTCCCTCTTGGAAACTTCTTCTCATCCCCTAGAGCAGTGGTTCTCAACCTGTGGGTTGTGATCCTTTTGGGGGTTGAATGACCCTTTCATAGGGGTCGCCTAAATACATCCTGCATATCAGATATTTACATTACGATTCATAACAGTAGCAACATTACAGTTATGAAGTAGCAACGAAAATAATTTTATGGTTGGGGGTCACCACAACATGAGGAACTGTATTAAAGGGTCGCGACATTAGGAAGGTTGAGAACCACTGCCCTAGAGAGTGGGGATTGAAGGAGTGATCTTATGATTCTCCTGCCTCCAAAGGCTCACCCCATTGCACTATATTTCCTCCTTTGAAATCTATAAAATTAATAAAAGGAACAGAATGGTATGGGGGGAAGGTTGGAGTCAGAGGCAGCAGGGTCTGTTTCCCCCAAGTAGACCTGCAGCACGTTTCTCAGAGGGGGCGGAGGGGTAGAGACCCTGGAGGATCCACCATGGTTCTTACTAGGACTGTCCCAGGACCCAGAGCACACCTAGTTGGCCCTCGAAGTGTATCCAAACCACACAGAACAACAGACTTAGAATGTTGGCAAATCTTAGGAGCAAGTCAGATAAGAGAGGAACACCCTTTCTAAGTTTATTTCATAACTAGAGGCTCGGTGCATGAAATTCATGCACTGGGGGGGTGGAGTCCCTCAGCCCGGCCTGTACCCTCTCGCAGTATGGGAGCCTTGGGGGATGTCCAACTGATGGCTTATAACCTACTAGTCCAGCTTCTCAGATGACCTCAGCCTCCTTCCACCCAGTGAAATGGTCGGGACAGCTACATCTCTGGCTGGGTTCACAGAGTGAGTCAGCTAGGTGACGTGGAAACTAAGGCACTGTGCCCGGCTGGAGTGGCTCAGTTGCTTGAGCATCATCCCATGAATCGAAAAGTTACCGGTTTGATTCCTGGTCAGGCACATGCCTGGGTTATGAGCTTGATCCTTGGCCCACAGGGTGCAGCAGATATTTATCTCTCACATTGATGTTTCTCTCCCACTCTCTCTAAAACCAATAAAAACATTTTAAAAGAAGATACTAAGGCAGCGTGCTCATAGTGAGCACAGAGAGAACTGCTTAGCTGGGAATCTAGATGCTTACTAGTGGTGGGATCACAGACACATCTAACCTCTTAGGGGGAAATCAGGGTGATAATTGTACCAGAGGCGTAGGGCTGTGACGATGGAATGAGTCAGTGCTTGGCAAGTGGTAAGTACTGATGAGTGCTCGCCATGGTAATGGTGGGGAAGGTCCCTCGGACAGTGCCTCCGGCTCTGAGACTGTTGAGATGGGGTTAGGTAGAAACTGGAGAAACCACTCAAAAGCAGCTGGCAATTTTCTCTCACAGGGAATTATCTCATTTGGTTTTAGGAACATCTCTTCCTTGGACTTTAAATAATGCAAATGTAAAAGCAAAGGCCCCTTCTCCTGTGGGTATAGTGGATGTTGGACCTGACCTTGTGGGTTGATGAGCTGGCCCCAGCCGTGTGGAAGTAGATTGCAGATACGGGGGTTTGCAACTTGTGAGAAGTATTATTCATGTTGCTTTGACCATGACCCACAGAAATATATTCCACATAATGATGTCACTGTACACATACATCAAACAAGTTTCACAAAACCATGACCACCCTCACTTTCTTAAATGCACCCTGATGTTTCTCTCTCTCTCTCCTTCCCCCGCCCCCCACATGTTGGTTGTAACTCAGTAAATTGACATCATGATGCACCAATGGATCTGGACCTGGTAGTCTAAGAAGCTGTGCTGTGAGGGAGCCCAGGAGGATCTAGCCCAGCCTGAGAACAGCTCTTTCCCTCTGACCACCCCTCATGGGTCTCTAAAGCCTGGGGTGGTTCAGGAGGGGCTGCCTACACTTGAGGGCAAATGAGAGCCCCTTCTCTAAGGCCAGAGGGGCAGTTAATAAGCCACAGGACAGGGAGCCGGGCCTTTCAGCATCTCCAGCAGCACACAGTAGGTGCTCAGTAAAGGTTTAAGCCACAGCAAGAACAGGGGAGAGTGCCCTGGACTGGGGCTAGTCATATGCTCTCCTCTGTGGCCCGGGGCCTCAGTTACTCCACCTGAAAAATGAAGGCCTGGTCTCTGGGGGATCCCCCAGCAGAATAGACCACCAAGCCTGGGACTCCCTTGGGGAGTGGAGACCCAATGTGGCACCATCGTACATGCTGCCCGTGCAACGTGGGGGCCCAGCCTGAGCTCTTCTCCAGGCGAGACCGCAAGATCCCGAAAGGCTACCGTCCGCCCTGGGCTCAGCTTGGGAGCATCTTCATACATGTCACTCCATTGAGGCTGCAACTCCTCAGTGCTGGAGAACCATGTGAGGGAGGGCTGAGGAAGAGGCTGCAGGAGAGCGAGGAGGGGAGCCTGGCGACAGTTCCCGAGCCTCTCCTCCAGGATGACCTCAGCTTCTAAAATCCTCGTCATGACAGGGATGGCATGGCAGCTCCCAATCCTGCCCTTGTTTAAGAATCGGGCCTGAGCTTGTTCACTCAACAAATACGTCCTAAACTATTGTATGGCAGGCACAGCAGTGGGCGCGGAAGCAGAGTTGTCCAGAGGGGAGGTGGCCGCCCTCCTGGAGCTCTATGTGATCTTAGTGGGGGGGGGGGGGGGGGGAGTTAACAAGTAAAGGAGATCATACCCAAGAGTGACATGCTCTGAGGGAGCAAGAAGATAATGAGAGAAAGTGACTGGGGGTGGGGGGCACTTTTGGTGGGTGGTAATAAGAACAAGCCTTTTTGAGGAAATGGCATTTGAGTTGAAATAGATGAAAAGGTACAAGGATCAGTGCTTCCAAAATGTCAGTTGAGAGCAAAATACAGATTTCTAGGCTCTATTTAGCAAATAAAGACATTAAGGCCCAGGGTCCAGGAATCTGCATTTTTCTTCCGAACGATTCCCATATACACTGAAACTGGAGGCCTTCTGCCTTCCAGAGAGGACCATACCTGGTGGGCTTCAGGGTTCCTTCCGACTCCCAGAGCCCATGGCGGGCTGGGGAGAGGAAGCTCTCAGTGTGTGTGGGGGGCGGGGGGGGGGGGAAAGAGGCTAGGGAGAGGGGCAGGGTTCCGGTTGGTTGGATGGCAGGAGGCATTAAATGAGCACGCACAGCTCCCCACGCAAAGGGAGAGCTCCCCAGGGCCCTCCTCTCTGCGGTGGCCTCCCTCATCCCTGCCCCACTCCCTGTTAATCAAGGCCATGAGGGTGCAGTCCTTGGCGGCCTA